TTGGAATGGGGTCAATGTGTTCGTATATCACTATAATTATTGTTCACGTGACAGATTATTATATTTCTAAATAAATAAATAAAAAAAAAAAAAAAACAGTTGAAGACTATCCTGCAATATACTGCAAGTATAGATTACACAAATATGGATGAACAAGAGAAATAAGAAGAAAGAAGGCCCTGGCACAAAAATTAGAATCAACAGGTAAGAGAACTATGAACTTAAAATTTATTTGGGTCTGTAAAAAAAAATACTTTCTTTATTTTATTTATTTATTTATATTTTATGCAATTTGCACCTGCGCATCTAGCAAATTTGTTGTGTTTGTTTTGTCTTTGTGTACTTGCTTGATATGGTTTTTATTGGTATAGTAGGTCTCTTGGCCATTTTCTTTTTAATCTAGGTTGTTCAGGTAACAGGGAACAGGAGATGGGAAGAACCAGAGGATTGGAGTGATTTTGGGTTGAAAAATGAAATGTAGTGTATTTGTCGTGGATGTAGGATTTTACTGTTGGGATGTTTAAGTCGTTATGAATAGCAGTATTTGAAATGTACCAATGTGCGTTAACAATTTTTCGTAAAATTTTTGATTGTGCTGTTTGTATTTTGTTTTGCTGAACCCCAAAGTTCTGCTCCATATGTCCATATTGGTCTCAGTAAGGTGTTGTAGATCAGTCGCTTGTTTCGTAAGTTAAGTGAAGATCTGTAGTCTAGAAGATGTGAAAGTTGGCTATATCGTCTAGTAAGTTCTTGTCTTTTTAATTTCGTATGTATGTTCCAAGTAAGTCTTTTGTCTAAATAGAGTCCAAGGTACCGCACATAGTTCTTTGAAGGCACTGGATTATTGGCAATCGTTAAAAAAAATACTTATTTCAATATCAATTACTATTAAAAAAATACTATTAAAATTATAATGAAGAGAAGGATGGTTGGGATGATCAAGCATAATAAAAATGGTAAAAATAAATAATAATATTTATTTCAACATTTGCCGACGTTTCGACCCGAAGTTCCGGTCTTCATCAGGGCTGAGGAAAGATAACAATAGATATGAGAAACATAAACAGTGTAGGTAGAAAGACTTGAAGTAAAATGAACTAGATGAAGTCATATCAATATCAAGGATTGAGACTTTGCAATATCTCAATTTTCTGTTTATATTTATTTCTTATATAACTTCATATTCCTCTTTTCTGTTTTATATTTTATTCTAAGATTATCATTTTTATTGAATATTTAATAGTTGGCCGTTGCATTATATAGGAAGGAGATGGTCCGGGGTGGCGGTCATAAAAAGACTAAATAGTGATAAAACTATTTTATTAAAAGCCGACGTTTCGACCCTACTTTGCAGGTCTTCTTCAGGGCTAGAACGGACAAGATACAAAAAGATAGAGAATTGTGGAAGTTACATAATATTTAGACAAAATTTATAAACAATGTGAATAAGCTTATTGAAATTATAAACAGTAAGTACATTAAAATATGAACAAAGTAAGCTAAGTAACAAGATCCTAAACTGAAGTAAATAGATGTTAACAATTGTTGTAGTGTAATATATAATAAATGCAAATGTAAATATGCTTCTACAGATTTACAGGAGATTGAAAGAAAAAAAAAAAAGGATATAATATGAAATAATATACATAAAGGAATGTGGAGAAAGAAAAGAAAGGAAACCAAAATTAAATAAATAGGTAAATAAGATGGAAAAATGAAATTAAAGACTTACAGGTCGAAACGTCGGCTTTGAATAAAAATAGTTTTACCACTATTTAGCCTTTTTATGACAGCCAGCCACCATGGACCAACTCCTTCCATTATCATTTTTAGTTCTTATGTTACATTATTTTGGTTATGTTTACTTCATTAGTCCGCACTTTTTAGCCGTTATTATTATTTATTTCTTAGTTCTTGTTATTATTCTACCCACAATATTTTACTTTAATGTTCACTTATCTACAACATTTTCCTTTTTTTTTTCTACCTACACTGTTTATGTTTCTCACATCTATTGTTATCTGGTTCTTTCCTCATTCCTGATGAAGAACTTCAGCAAATGTTGAAATAAATATTATTATTTATTTTTGCCATTTTTATTGACTGATCACAGCAACCATCCTTCTCTTCATTATTCACTACAGTCAACCATCAACCCACAAATATTTAAATTATAATTTCTTCGTCCGAAGAGTCGGATGATTGATTGATTATTCATCTTTCAAATTCAGTTACTAAATTAACAGAGATAATGGATATAAACAGAAGATGCAAGAGGCACGTGTATCCTTGGTGTGAAAGTTCTTTTATCAAGATGCATCTATCTTCAGTGTGAAAAGGGTGTTAATCTGAGATTTTTCGGGATTTCGATACCTATTAAAGTGAAAAGAAAGCTAGATCTGCGCTTTCTTTGTTGAAATATATGAATTATCAAAAACAAAAAAATAATAACATGACATTTATTAGGTTACATTAAAATACTATGATTAATTCTTCTCCAGCTAAAAAAACAGAAGGACATTAAGACAAACTGCAAGGTTACGAAAAAACAAAACTGTTGACTTTTCAATTCTCTTACCTCCTATATCAAAACTATCAACCTTATCAATCAATACATGTAATCAACTAAAAAGTTGATTTTTAAATACTCTCATGGCCACGTCTGAAATGCTCATCAGGAAGCGACTGAAAAGGAGCTGGATGAGAGATCTCCTTTCCTGATTTTAGGATGTAAACAGGCCAGGGAAGAGGTGCTGCTGGGCTCCATTCTTCCTCATGCCTTTCATGCCATTTTGTACCTTAGAACAAATCTGCTAATTGTCACTACCATGACGGGTGCGGATGAAGAATTGAAGACATAAAAAAAAAAAAAAAAAAAAAATACTCTCATTCTCTTCAAAGATTAATAAAACTTTAACCTTAAATAAAGTTCAAGAAAAATATTGAAATAAATTATTCCAAACACATACCTCAAAGTGGCACAGAAGGATATTTCAAGCATAAAAACAGTCTTATACACAAGACGGCTTACTTTTTTATTTATTCTATTTTTCAAACATAAATACATTATTATTTTATTTTTTGAATCAACTATATTTGAACGGAAATATTCAATTTTATTGTAACTTCTAGACACAAAGCTGAATAAACAATAAATCCTATTACAGTAAAACCTCTCTACTATGGCTGCTTTGAAATTTTGACATAACGTTTCTATCGGATTCAAGAGTGTTTTTATATACATTTAATTACCATTCGCTCTTTGGTTTCGGAAAGGCGGGCGAAAAACCTGTGTCGCTATAGACTGTAGTGCTGTAACGATTTTAATTAAACTTGGATGAAGTTTTGAGCCCTTTTAATTTATGTGTATAACATGTTTCCCCGAAAAGATTATGAAAAAAAAAATATGAAAAACTATATTTACAAATAACCCAAAAGATACACAATTTTTGGTACTTGTGAAGAATCTGGTCTGGAAGAAAACTCCCTTCTTATCTCCTGTAAGCTGTTGTCCTGTTATGTGTGAGTTGTTCCATTGTGTATTGTTCAAATAAATATAATATACTGTGGGAATTGCCGTCTTCAGAAGGATAATCCCATCCTGACTGGATTGTTCACAATTACCAAATTTTTTATTGATCATACCCATGATTACTTGAAAGCTTCCTAAACTCCATGTTAATTTTTAAAAAATCATTAAAATCGAACTATTTGGTGTAGAGATATGATGTTTTAAACATTTAGTATTTTTTCTTCAGCGATTTAGAGACGGATTGCTTTTCACATATGTTGCGTATTTTAGAGTTGAAAAACCAGATAATCTCTATATCAATATAAAGAATGGAACAAAAAATATTGTACACCCACAAGTATTGTGAAATAAAACATATTAGAAACATCTGATTGTTTTTTTTTAATTCAACCAGACTGAGCCACAGCAATGCCTGGGGGGTACAACTAGTTTTATAATAAATTATTTTATTAATGGAGACTAAAAAGGCCTAAAATTACTAACTACACTGATATAGGTCTCTTCCCCATTATCCTCATTAAGTGAAAAAAAAAGTTGTAATTTTATTGTACAATTTTAATAACCCCCTTCTCCTCTGAATCATACACTCATTATACTCATCATGCGCAGAAGTAAGGTGCATGATGTAAACTACTCTATCCAAATTTTTTTGATGGGGGGACACATTTTAATGAAGTCAAGAATTTTCGAAGAGTTTTTAATAGGGAAGAATTTTCAAGCAAAGGGACAAGAGAAGAAACTTAAATCATAATTTTACTTTTATTTGTACCGGTCTTAAGAAAAGAAGAGTTTTCTTGGTGTAAGAGTAATTTAATAAGTTTTTTTTTGGTGGACGAGGGATGCACCATCATCCTTGGGGAGGATGGGTCACATGATAATATATATATATAAATTTTGAATTTTATTTGTGCATATCGCTACTGTTAGTGCAAAAGGTCGTATGTAAAAATTGAGTTTTTTTATAGAAGACATAAAAATCAATTATTTCTTTATAAGTTATTAGTATAATTTTATTTCTTATTTCTCCCTGCTATTTTCTTATTTAGCAAAACTACTTATAGCAGTTGCAGACTACAAAATGTCACCTTTAGAAAAAAGAGAATAAACATGTAAAATTATTACGTAGGACCTTTTGCACTGACAATATATTTTTAGAATTTACATACGTTTTCATAAATATGTAAACAAATAAAATAAAAAATAAGACAAAATTATAATCAACACAGATATATCCATATCTAATTTTAAAAATTTACATTTTTTTTTTAAAATATATTAATAATATATGAGTTGGTTGGGGGAAGGAGGGTGCAGTCATATAAACACCATATTATTAAAATACTGTTCTAATAATATAGTATTTATAAGAGCGCATACGGAGACCGACTACTTCTCATATTATAATCACGGTTAACCATATCTACACCTATTATTAATATGTGTTTGTTTTTTTTTTCCTTTAAATTAAAATTTCTTTACCTTGTTTTATTTATTTATAAAAAAAAAAAAAAAAAAAAAAAAAAAAAAAAAAAAAAAAAAAAAAAAAAAAAAAATAACTTCAAGATATGTACATTTTTAAATGTATATGCCCACATATTTATTTATATTAAATAGTTTACATATGCCATCATATTGAGGGATAAATTTATATCTATATGATGAAAATCTGGTTGTCAGAATCCGTTGCAAACGGTTCTTAATTATTAAACTTCAAGTTGGGGTATTTAAAAATTATAGATAGGAAGGATTGTCCATTGCAGAGAGGTTTTATTGCAATTGTACTAAATAACTTAAGAATTACATAAGATGAGGTATAAATAATAAATGGAAGTAAAAATCAATTTACTAATTGCGAAGCCTTCACAAGGGAAAATATTTATACTTATAACTACTAATGGAATGATCAACAATGTATTTAATTTAGGCATGTGTATATATACACATAAACACACACACATAGACAAACTCACGCACACACGTATATACACACATACAAACACAAACTTTTACTTAAGAGTTAAATTTATTTCGTTAATTATCATTTCTATTTAATTGACTTTCCACTGGAATATTCAAAAAAGTTTAATTATTTCAGTAACCAATAAATATCTTTCATATATTATATATATATATATATACTAAATATACATTTAAAATTTCAATCACAACGCCTGATATAAACACTTACTATCTACAAAAGCGAAACAAGAACCTTTAGTTCTATATATCTAACATTTATATATGTACATCTCTATATATGTACACTTTTCTACATAATGAAAATACACACATATTACTAGAACAATATGAACGAAGTGGATCCGCTTCGAAAATTCTAGATTGTTGCCAGGTTATATTACATTAATTAGTAGTATAAACCATATTCAAATAATTGTCAGTATTACATAAAAAATAATAATAAATAAAAACTGGACGGCAGAATATAACAAAAAAATCCATGCAAGCTTTTGTATTCTTATAAATAATAGGAAATAAATAAAAATGATAAGAAATGAGATAGCTATGATAAATAAATGCAAGCCAAATGTTTGCGAACAATGCAAGAACTAGCGTTGTATTAAAAATAAACCCTACAAGCCAGCTAGCCGCATTCCAATCATCTATGAACAAATTGTACGGTAGACTTCTGATAATTTTTCTTTGCTTCGATGATTGTTAATTTGATAGAAACAACTTCCAGAAACGCTTAGACATCTATCAAAGAGGTTGTCAACAAGTGCTTGATAAAAAAATTATTATGTCTCCTGGAATTTAAGTTAAAACTTTTTGGTCTGAAATGTACATGATCATTTATTTTTTTCATTTTTCTCTTTTTTATAAAGTTTATTACAATTTAAATTGATTTTTTAAAGGCTAAGATATATAAAACATCCCAATTTTTCAAGTGTTGTATGAGACTGAATCTTGATGTAAAATAGGTACAGCTTGTACATTACAAAATATTAAAAAATATAATAAACTTAGGCATTTCGGTAAAACAATGAAAAAGAACTTCATGCATTTTTACTTTCACTGTAAGGAAAAGTATTAAGATTGTGAAAATTTTTTAATCTGAGTTTTCAACAGAAATACATGTTTTGAGGTCTCCTGAGTCCGAATAACCAAGTTCTGCTTGTTATTAATTAAAATGGTCTGTGTGTATGAGGACAGCCTAGGTCAAAAAGTTGTACGAAACTAAAATTGCATATTTAAGGTGTTTATATAGCTGGGGTGTTACAGCAAATTTTTCATTAAAATCGGCTAACCGGAAGTGCCACTTTGTATCACTGATTTTAGACATTTTTCTCAAAAACAGCTTCACTATGTCAGTGTAAAATTAAATGTTTTTTAATATAACGTACCTTTAATTATCTTTTTATTTGAAATAATTAATCATTCTACATTGTAACCTGACATAAAAAATGAGTAAATATGAAAGAGTTCAATAATTATCTAAAGAAGAAGTAATCTGATGTAAAAATAGACTTAGAAAAGTTAGAACAGACTTATATGCATAAGTATGTGCGGTTTTCATAAATGATAGTGTTGATGTTATTTAATATTCAATTGTATAGATAACACATATAAAAATTAAAATTTATATATACCAATATTTAAACAAAACATTTGGTTCACGCATCACACAACTTTCTCTAACCACCCTCTTCTTAGCAGAAATAAATATTTTCAAAGGGGAAGCAAAAGTCAAAATTATAAACACTATATTGATTTATATTTCATTGTGGATATTTTTATTTGTTTAAATACCCTTATATTTAAAAATTTTATTATAGATATCGCTGTAATCTATACAATTAAATATTATATAATACCAACGAAAACATTTAGGAAAACCGCATATGTTAGGTACATAATATTGTCGGAGTCTGTATTATATTAAGCTCATGTTACGTATGGAAGCCTGTTCTAATTTTCGGGCGAGCTCTCATATCCCTTTGGTTCCTTCATTACAACTATTCTCTGTTATGATCTCTTATTTCTCCTATAGTTAATTATTGAATTCTTTCATATTTTATATTTAACAATTTTTTTTTATATTAGAGATCAATGTGAAGTGGTTAATTGTTTCAAATAAAAAAAATTAAAGGTACTTTAGATGAAGCTAATATTGAAAACCAGCCATTTAAGTCCTGTTAAAGAACACCAATGAGAATAAAACCTACATTACATTAAAAACTGCTTATTAATACACTAATATACCGAGTTTGATCAAAATTGTTAAAGCTGTTTTCAAGAAAATCGTAAAAATGTGTAACATCGATTATATAAAGTGCCTCTTAGCCGATTTTGACGAAAAAGTTGGTGTGACATCTCAGGTATATACAAACCTTAAATATGCAATTTCACTTTCATACGATTTTTTGTTATTGAACTAGACTAGTCACATAGACACACACAAACCATTTTGCGGGACTTGGTTACTTGGACTCAGGAGAACTCAAAACATGTATTTCCGTTGAAAACTCAGATTCGAAAATTTTCATGATCACAATACTTTTTATTGTGATATATTTGAAAAGTGAAAGTAAAAAAAATACCTAACACGAAATATATATAAATTTAGTGGTCTGCATTATCAGTGGCATTCATGTCAGACTTAAAATATTTTGTATCGTTTAATTATTTATTATAATCTAATAAATAATTAAAATATGTAATCGTTAAAGGCAATGATTAACAAAAAAAATATCATAATTATAATACATTAGACGTCTTTGAAAAACATATGGTTATTGATAGTTTAAAAAAATATCTATCTCTGCTAAAAAGTTGTGTGATGCGCGCACTGCACCAGATTTGTTTTGTTAGGAAAAGTTTCATTCAAGCTCTGACATGCAAAAATTATCAAGAATCTACCGCACATTAAAAATGTTAAACAACCAAAAATGCATCAATCGTTATGTTTTTATTGTTTTTAAACTTTTATTTTTTTATTTTTTGTAATAATGTATAGATAAATATATAATTATTTTTTTTAAGAAGGTGATAAGAAAAATCATTAATCAATCAATCTCTGATATAAAATACCCCATGAAAAAATAAAATAAATACTTTTTTTTGTTGGATGTTAAAATATTTATATAACAAATCTGTATCTTGGGATATATTTGTTTTTGGTCCCAACTTTCTGGCACTGTGTACAGCACATTTTTAAAACAAAAATGTAAATCGAATTAATAAAACAAAAAAAAAAAAATGTAATCATATGGCAACAGTGTTATAGAAAAAAATATCTTACAACGTACCTGTATGTATTGTTATGTTGTTTTCAAATCTTAGCTTACACTGGTGGTGTATTATTGGTGGATAAGTGGTAAATGAGGTGTCGAGCTCTTAAACTGTTTTATGAAGTTATTTATTTTGTGTTTTCACAGATTTATAGTGTGACAATGTGTATATATATATATATCTATTCTTAAAATGTAATTTGCTAATCTCTAGAGTTTTAAGACATAACAAGTAGAGCATTATACCTATAAACATACAAGTAAGAAGACATCAATCAACTACAAATCTCGGTTTAACTTAAACCCCAAATCTACTAATACTAAATGTTTATAAAACACCCCATAAGAAACTCAAATTAAACAAAAAAATTATATGTATATATAAAATAAAAATACACTACAATCTTATACAAAATGACTGTCATAATATGGTTGTATCCAGGCATCTAAAGCATTTCGTTAAATTATGCAATGAACGACATTTGACATGCTTAGCGAATGCGAAATAAAAGTTTATTCATCAATAATTTTAAATGAAAAAAGAAAATTTTAAAAATGTGATGGAAATGAACAAAATTTTTGGAAATGATATTTTAAAAATAGAATACTCTGATAATGCATGAATGCTTTACAGTAAATAAAAACGTGCACGTTGACATTTTTCTTGTTAGGCTTTAAATGCCATGAAAGCAAGCTAAGCACTAGAGACATAAGTTAATGAAGCAGATCAAAGTTGAACATGTGCGCTCTGTTACTGCCGTTTTTTTTTTCTTGATGTCTGTAAATATAATAGCCTAAAATGGTGTTCACAATTCTCTTTATAATCCACAATTTTATTATTATATAAACATCGATTTTCACGACTAATCATCTAAAAGCTAACAAAGCAAACTTTCTGATTTATAAAGTCGAAGAAATTAAGGTCAATAACTGAGAAAAGAAAAGAAAAAAAAACAACTAAAATATAATAAACTCAAACATTATAAGAAATTAATATTATATCTTCAATACAAATATAAAATATAGGCTCAATACAACTAATATTGATATAAATAATTACCACTAACTATAATAGAGGATTGCATCCTGAAAGTAAATCTAAATTAATCATAAATACACTTTTGTATTTTGTAAATTATAATAAAACTTAGTCCACAAAGAAAAACAAAATGAAAAAAACAAAACTTCTACACTAAAGTCTATTTTCACAATATTTCTACACTTGGACTTTGCACGCACTAAAATTTAAAACCTACGTGTACTGTCTTTTACATATCGATCACACAGTCACTTCTGCCTCAATATATATAAATCATGCTGGTTTTTATTTTCAACTTAAAGTTAAAAAAAAAAAGAAAAGAAAGAAAGTCAATGCTAAAATGCCCTGTCTTGTTCAACCATATTTCTTAAATAAAATTAAAATAAAATGAGAGAAGAAAAATTTAATATAATATAGCTTGCATACAAGCTGAGCATTAACAAAAAGAAATAACATAATGACAAAAATAAATTTAAAAACTCCTAATTAGTTACAATATCCTTTAATAATTGGTGTATCGTGTCATCGTAGAAATCTAATATTTAAATCTTCTTTCCATATTAACATCCTTATCTTAACAAATTATACTCATTCATCATATTTCGAATGTAAACAGTTTCTCTATAATTTTGTATACTTTATTTATTATTTTCTTATACTTTTTTTTCATTTTTTTTCTTATTTTTTTTTACCGACAACAAATTATGTTACTTTAAAATGTTTTTTGGTACTTTTTTATTTTTCTTATACGAATAGTAATTGACATAAACAGAGAAACTGAGAGGCATAGAATCTCTACTGAGTTTCCTCTTTGAATCCGGACCCTCCATTGGCTGTGATGGAACGTGATGATGAAAAGCACAGCTTCATCATATATGGAAATTTGCTATCTGTAACAGAAAATAATAAAATTTTTAATAACATACACAGGCGATATATTATAATATAAAATTTTATATGACTTAATTCCTGTAGTCCTTAATGTAATCTGGCACAATATATTATTGCTCATTGGAAAAACCTTCTGAGATATTTGGAAAAATGAGATATTATAAAAGATTATACATATTTTTTTAAAGGCAATTGCCTCTCCCTTTCCCTCAATAAAAATAGGGAGAGGGCGAGAATATTGTTTCGTGCCCTCTCCCCCAAATATTTTGAAAAATCAAATAGAAATCCATAAGAATTAGTCTAAATGAATGAATAAAATAAGTATACCAAAATCAATTAAGAAAGTAGGAAAAGTCGACTAGATGGCTAAACTAATAGTCCTAGAGCCCATGCATAAGGCCTAGAAGGAGGTGCGCAAGTAATTTACCATGTCCATATCTTCCTATTACTGCAATTTTAATTTATATTCAATGATAATTAATTATATGCAGCAACATATCTGAGGATTTTACGATTCATTCATGTACACACTAGCATTTTTATTTTTTGCATTGGAGAATTGAGAGTTCATATCATTGCCTCAAACCTTTAATTACAAATAAAAATATGAAAATATTTTCAAATGTACCCTACGTAAGAAAAAAAAATAATAATAAAAAAAAAAAATATATATATATACACTGACAGGTAAAAAATTCCACCCACTTGATTTTTTCATGTTTTCATCTAAAAATATTTTACCCACTTGTAAAAAAAGTTGTATTTGTATATAATACATGGTATTTGTAGATAATACTTAGTATATATGGAATTTTATAATATTTTTTACCTTTAATAATCAAAATGTGATTGGGTAAGAAAGATTAGAGAAAAAAATTGAAAACGAACCATTATTATTCTAAAAGAAATTAATTACATCATCGTTTAGTAGTGCATGTTTCCTCCTCTTGCCTTCACTACTTCTTGAAGACGCCTCGGCATACTTTCCACCAGTCGGGAAATGTCCCTTTGCTGCAGGATAGCCCATTCCTCCCGAAGAGCCCTTTCAAGGTCCTGCAGTGTATCAGGGAGTGTTGCACGCGCTCTTATTCGTCTTCCGAGGTTATCCCATAAATGCTCAATGGGGTTCAAATCTGGAGAACATGCTGGCCAGGCTAAAACCTCAATCTTGTTCTGTTGAAGGAACGTCCGCAGTATGCAGGCGACATGTGGGCGTGCATTAGAATAGAACAATCGCCGATTTCGTTGAGGATAGGCAACACATGAGGTTCCAAAATCTCATCTACATAGCGAATTGCCGTCAAAGACCCTCCACGAACAACAACCAATTCTGTGCGGCGCTCCATTGAAATCCCAGCCCACACCATTAAGGAACCACGTTGGAAAGGTTGGCTCTGGGAAAAATTACAAGCTGCATATCAATTACAAGTACCCTCTTTATAGAGGTAGGGTTTGTCCTAGGAGAGCCTCCTGATCACAGTGGCTAATGTACAAAAATGAATCATCGAGTGCTGAATGAACTTTTGGACTGAATGGAATCCAAGACCCAGAGCATAGGAGCACAGTGCCTTAATGAGTAACCCAGCTACCTTTTTATTAAATTAAGCATTAGAGTATTAGAAATAAATAAAAAAACTATGTCAATACCTGGATTTTTAATTGGTGCATGATTACAATAGATGAGAGCATTTACAGCATCGGCCAGGTCCTCAAATTCTAGCAGGCCTGACGAACTTCGTTCTAAATAAAATAAAATAAACACAATGAGTTCTATAAATAATAATGAGACATTTGAAAAACATTGAAACATATAGGAACAATGTGCAAAACCAACTTGCAATTCACATAAAAATTTCAAAATGATTCTTTGGTAAAACAAAATATTTGGATGTAATAAGGAGATGTTAAATATGGTGAAAATTAAAAAAAAGAAATGTAGTTAAAACCAACTTTTCTTCATCTTTTAACCTTGAAGATCTACAATGCGGTAGCACATGGGACAGATCCCTTTTAATAAAATTATTAACATCCATCTGAAACGTCATATATTACTTCATCCCGTCGTAACACAACTTTTTTATTCAGGAATTCTAGGAAATAAGGATTTACAATCTGGAGATTGGGAAACTTTCCCCATTTAATGAGGTACTAAAAATGCATGAACACCCGTTTACTTTCCACTTGAATCGTAAGATAGTTGTGCTAAGCTGAAAGTAATAATAATAATGCTTTATTTATTTTGGGACAAATCCCTTTAGAATAATGTACAGAGATAGAAATGTGGGCTTTGGAGCCTCAGAGAATAACCACAAAATAAACAGATTTATATAATGAATAAATAAAAGAAAATAATATTATTAACCTTCAAACTTTAATTAAGAGGAAAAAAAATTAAATAAAAGTAATTACAACAAACTAATTATTTATACACATATTTACAACATCTATTTACAATTTTATGAGAACTGAACAGATAAGAGGTGTTTGAACATGCGGGATTAAAAGGTGGGAAGGGTATTGAAGTGACGGATGTAGGATGAGGATCAAATAATGAAAGGTCTGTCGAAAGCAGCGGTTCGGTGGACTCTTGTATAGAAACCTGAAGACCGAGACCAGATATTGCAGGAGTGGACAGAGGATTTGAATTGAAGGAGTTCGGAGATGTATGAATTAAAGTGAGATTGTATGATTTGGAAGAGGAAAGATGCTAGGAAATACGTTGGTAGGAAGGATAAAGCCATTTTAGCTCTTCATAATAACGGGAAACAGAGGCATCCCTTGGGATTCCAAAGATGAATCGTACAAGGCAATTTAACAAACGTTTTAGTTTCGCATAGAGATTCCCAAAGATGCCCCCATAAACAATACAGCAATAGCCGAAGTGAGGAAATATAAAGGAAGTAATGGTAATAGGTGGTACAGATAATTTAGCCATTTTAAAATGGAAAAGACATGGCTAGAAACATAGGATACATGATTTTTCCAGGAAAGGGTTTAATCAAAGGTTATTCCAAAGTTCTTAATGGTATTGTTAGATACTACAGAGGAAGGCGATTTAGTTTATGAAATCAACCCAGCTATAATTAGAGCTACCATTGACAGGATATTAAATAAACATAAGTAACATTTGTAAGAGAGAGATGAGAAAGCATTGCATAAACTCAGCTTACTGTGAACATTGGAACCTTTTTTTGAACAAGGGTGGGACCTCCCAGTATCTGTTGATGACGGCTAATTTCAAATATACCAGAGTATTTTAATGCAGATCTGCCTCTCAGGAAAATACATTATCAAGATTTTAGTTAACAATAATGTTTTAAAAATCACTCCTCAACTTGAGTGTTGAGTTGAACAAAATGTGCAACACTATGGAAAAGATACTTCATCATTTATTATTTAACTACCCAATATACAATAGTTCGTGAGTAAGAATAAACCATGGTGCAGGAAATCTTAATGTGATTGAAATTTTTAAGCCAACCACTATAGAAGATATGAGAAAATTATTTGTTTTACTAGCTTTAACCGGCCACGCGCTGCTGTGAATGAAAAAGAAAGAAAATAGAAAGCACATGTGAGTAGATTAGTAGCTAAGGACATCTGTCATTTTTAAAAAGTTGGGAAACAAATTTGTCTGTAAAATGGCTTCAATTTAAACAAATTCTAATGATTTTTTTTTTCTCATGATTCAAATTGAACATTCATAATCATCAGAAACAGTCTGAGGTGAACTTATAAAACTAAATTAAAAAATTAATAAAAAAAACGTATAATAGTATTGACCTACATAAGGAGAATCATATAACTTCCTTCAAATGATAATTTCAATTACTGTAGTAATTATAAAATTTTACCTTCGGTAGTGAGGAAGCAAAAAGAAATGGCCTTTTCTAAAGAGAAAGCAGTAAATGTTTAAAACTCTATAACTCTGCAACGAACCGTCCGATTTCGAAGACTTTTTATTTTTTTATTTTGTCAGCAATTCAGCAATCTTTCAGATAAATGTGGGCATTATCAATAAAAAATTGTGTACTTTTTTAGTTATCGGCAAATAGAATATTGAATTCATCGTAACATTTTTCAGCTTGTTTTCAGGAAAGACAGGTAGACATACATTTATATATATATATATATATATATATATATATATATATATATATATATATATATATAGATTATACTTTAGAGAAACACTTTATTTTCATATAAAATCACGCTTTTATATCACGATATTGGGTTGCTAGATACACAACATAAAAATATATCTAATTATAGAGAATTGGTAAGATAATATTGCCCTCTGAGTATAGTAGCAAAAATGTAGATTTAGTGTCGACATGGATTACTTATTACATGGATTAAATATTAAATACATTTGTGTTTAGGTCTTATTTTCTTTTTTGTTTCTTTGTTAATGGGAATAATGTGCTAATTTAATTTTAGAGCATGGTTTAATATCAATATTTAAAAAATAAAATGAAATTATTAATAATAGTAATTATTTTAACTGTCAGATTTTTTAATAAATGTGATTTGTATGTTATTCTTAAGGATTTTTTGTAATATTTATAATGTAGTATAATAAGGGAAAAAAATTATTGCAATACCATAAGGATAATAATGTTTATAATGTAGAGATAGATTCAATTTGTATTGGGTTCTTCACTCTAAACAAATAAAGATTAAAAAAAATCACAAAATTCAGGAAAAAAATAGCCTGAAAACATATTGGGCCCTTTGGTGTGACCTCCATCTTCAACATGTCAAATTATATAGGCCAAACGGCTCTATTTTTGTAGGCCACATTTTTTTCTCGATTTTATGATCAATTACTCAAACGATTCCATTGGAGAGGAAATTGGTGTTCATGAGATTTAAGTACCTCATTAAATTAATAAGTAACGCGTCATTTCTGAGAATAATCATAAATAAAAAAAGTTGTAAGTTATGATAATACAAAGCCATTCACAAAGTTTTAGACATACGTTAATATTATGATAAAAAGAGCTCTGGAACAAGGACTATGGGTCAAAACACTAGCATTAAATAAATAGTACTCAGTTATTTAAAGCTTTTTTTCTAACTGACTCCCAGGACTATCTCCTTTTATTATCATATGGTCAACTGTTAACATATTCAGGATATCTCAATTCATTATGGCCAAACTTTGGGGAGTGATTCTAAATTCAAAATTTTCAACAAAAAAGTTCTTTGATACATGGACCGATTCCGAACAGAAGAGGAGTTCAAAACAACCAACGTAAAGCAGACACAATTTTTTTTTTTTGCGAAAATAGTGATTGAAATTATTAAGTTAAATAATAAAAGACACTTTCAGGAGGTCTAAAGATACTATTTCGCTGGTGCGGTCCACAACAGCCACCGCTATCCCACGCTGCCAACCGCTGTTGGCGTAGCTATTTCGCTGAAACTGCCCCCTGGGGTTGTTATAACCTGCCTATAACCTTCGGACATTCAAAGATAAAAAGATGGACATCCTATAATAATAAAAATGAACATCCTATAATCCTATAATAATGAACATCTTAGACTACCACTTTTTTATTTGAGGAGGAAAATGTTCATAAAGAGAAGGAATATCAGTATTTCGATGAGATGCTCATCATCAAATCCCTTCTTGGACATTGTTTGCTATTGTCTAGATGAACAACCAAAAAAGAACAAAAAGGCGGAAAACGCCGTACTAACAACAACAGTCCCTCTGATATTAGATATCTGATATTAGTTTGAAAAGTAATAGTAATTAATACATAATTGATTAGTAATAAATATCATATATTTGTAATTAAATGCCAGCAGGCGATGGTTTATAGTTTTATCAATAGTAATCAGTAAATCACCACTTTAATTAAAAAATACAAATCGATTTTTCAATGGGTGGATTTTAGTATTTACCTGACGATAAAATTTGTTGGATTCTTTAATTTATTTAATATTGTTTGGATTTAGGTATATTTGTATTTTGTTGTAAAATATTGCTGGTGGAATAAATAAATAAATAATCTTGTTACTTCAACCTTAAATAAATAATTTACTATTGCATTGTTTCAGTTTTAAAGAATATTTGTTATAATTTTGCGAGACTTGAAAGAAACATAGGAAATAAAACGTATCTACGTGACTGTTATCATCAAAACAATGCTCTGATATGACAACATAACCTAAAACCGCCAACAGCTCCACTGCTTCAGGAGCGGTCAGATAGGAGCAGCTTAGATATGACGTCATACCTAGACTGCCGAGCAGCGCCAGCGGAATAGGTTCCTTTCTATTCTACTAAAGCAGTGGTCAAGCGTGCGCAGTCGTGGTCGTGGACCGCGCCAGCGAAATAGTACCTTAATATGGCTGTTATGCTGCCTCGGTTACAGTTCCCATACATCATGGCACAACATCCCGTTACCGAGACTGGGCCTCCTCCAAGAGCCTCCGCCAGTTGGCTCTGTCTTCTGCTGCAGCTCTCCAGTTCCGCACACCAAGCAGGGTTCTCGCATCATAGGCCACGTTGTCCAACCATCTCGTCCTCGGCCTTCCTACCCGTCTTACGAGGTGCAGCTCCTCCATCATTATTTTTTTTGGTATTTCAAGGGTGCTCATTCTGGCCACATGCCCTGCCCACCTTAGTCTGGCCAGTTTAATATACGTGACTACGTCGATGTCTGCATAGAGAGAACTGAGCTCCCTATTTTTTCTTTTCCTCCAGACATCACCCTCCTTTACTG